ATGTAAGGAATGCATCTGCATACAGCACTGAAATTGTGTGTGAAACAGGAAGCTACTGCAGCCTATTTTTTTTTAATCTATGCAAACCAAAGAAAAGATACAGAAAATGTACAGAAGAGGTGAATAAGTGTTCTTGTGGCTAAAGCAAGGCATACTAAAAAAATGACATTAAAGAAGCCCATAAACACATTACTGTAATTTACTGGGCCTCGCCTCCCATGGGAAAATAAATAAAAATCCAGAATGAAATATGGTCATTCAGCAGGCAGTGCTCAAATGTCACACAGCCTGCTCTACCCTACCCTGGTTAATCTCTCCTGAGAACAGAAACATTTGCTGAAGAAAGGGACATCTCTGTGAAGAGCTAAGACCACTTCTCCCTGATGCGGCATCAAAAGAAAAGTCAATGAACACGAGACAATGCCAGGAAACACACTACACACAAAGCTCAGAGGCAGGAGAGTAGGAATTATCTTGGAGGGGGAAATGAGCTTTTCTTGTGTTGCACCCTTGGTGATCTTCACCTGTGAGATAAGAGAGACTTCCAAGTGATAGTTCAAAATGGTATTGTAAATGTGAAATATGTTAACTCTCTAAAACTTACTGATGGGTGGAAAGAGACATTCAGTGTTACCAGACTTTCATGCTGACATGTCACTCAGTATTTTTCTTTCAATACCTTGGTAAAAAAATTCAGTTCACACAGTTAAAGTATGTCTTCCATATATGTTTTACCACAAGGAAGCCAGACAAACACTCCCATGTACAAACACGAAAATATATATGTATTTTAATTTTCATTTGGTCATATTTTATTTAACAGTATGTCATTCTTCCTCAATAACCAATGATGATTCAAAGTAGTAGCACTCTCCAAAGCAGCCCATTGATCACAGAGAACTGATGATACTTTAATATACAATATAAAGAGTGATGTTCACAAAGTTGCTTTATCTTCAGACTTTAGGTTAGAACACACCAGACCAAAATTAACCATTTCACTAGGTCCAAGAATAAAATTCAAACTGACAACAAGTTGTGAAAAGAGAATAGTTATTGAAACTTTACAGAGAAAGAACATGATTAATAAACTTGTCCTGGCTTTACAAATCTCAGACCCCCTGAGTCCTAAAAATACTAAACTGAGAAACAAACAAATTTTATCCTGAGGATACAAGAATTGTTTGTAAATTACTCCTGCAATTTAATTTTGAATTTTGATATGGTGCTATAATATTTTCCATAAGGCTCCAAAGTAGATTGCTGCATGCAAAAAGAACATTATTCAGTAGTTACTGCTATGCAAGTACTACAGATCACAGGAGCCTTAAGGCACAGATTGCCAATCTGCAATTTTAGATGCCACCACGACTAGCTGTTAATCATTATTCTCATTACAGAGCTGTATTAACATATAATGTGAGTGCTTTTGTATTTGCATGAGTGCAGAATCAATAGAGTTAACATGATTTGTGCACAGCCTTCACTGGGACACGAGTACTTCCATAATATGTTGTTGATTAAAAGTTGGGGCAGCAGTTCCTATTTGAAGAGTGACAACTAACAGTCAGGGAAGGTGACATCTTAAATCAAGAGAGTAGTTTCACCTACACTTCTAGCCAGACTCTCTTGTTTTGTATTCCTTTATGATGTGGTTGGCCTTGGTCTCATTTTTCATCTCACCCTGTTAACTAGAGATTTATAGAAGGGAAATATTTCAAATGCTGATCCTCAAGATCTACTCTGCAGATTATCAATATGTTTGGGTTTGTTTACAGTTTTCTTCAGTTATTCATAGAATAAAGCACACACAGAAGACAGGATGCTGTTGAACACAAGAGGGTAGGAGAAGGGATGAAAAGCTGGCAATGTTTTTCAGAGCACATTTCACACAGCAATCCTTACGGTGAAAGAGCTAGAGAAGCAAATTATTTAAAAGGGCCATTATTCTCAACTTGAACACTAGAAAACTGCAAAACAATTTTTCTTATTATTGTCAGGTAATCTAAATGTGCCACTCTGAATATATTCATACTTTAGAAAATTTTCATTTCCTACTGTTTCATTCCTTTTACCACTGCTGCATCAAAAATGCATGTGAAAGTCAGGGACAACCATACTTAAAGGAAAGTGATTTTACACTAAGTCCTATCAAGGATACAATGCAACCAAACCCTGGAAGTCTTTAAGTTATCATAATCTCGGGCATTACTTGTAACAATCACCAATTTACTATTCTTAGGCATTAAGTGTAATGCTTAAAGTTGTCAGTTTCCTTTACATCATCTCTGCTCTGAATGACTAATGGCTACAATTAACACCATCAGCAGCACTGTTCAAAGACACAGAACACAGATCACCAGCTACAGCTCCAAGGCTGCATAATTAGCACAAGACACAGAAGTTTGCAGGGGAGATTCCCACACCACTTCCACTCACAGCTTTCCACAGAGCAGGTGCTGATACTGATGTCAGGGCAAGGCAGGCTGCAACTTGAGCAAGCGCTGAATTCTCCCAGAAAGTTTTCTCTGCAGCAGGGTTTTGCAGAATACATCCCTCTCTTCTCTTCCTACGGACAGGTTGGGGGGCTCTGCCCTTCCAGCTCCTGCATGCTACATGATACCCACATCCTGAGAGCTACTGTGGAAACAGCAGCACCAGAGGCACTTCAGGTTTAGCATATGCATCAGCTTTAAATATATCCAAACTGAGTTTGTGTGGGAAAGTGAGAAACATGTTATCTCTCCTTCCTGATGACAGATGCGTCATGGGGTTTGTAAGTCCTCTCTAATATTACTGAGCAGGTGAAAGCCTCCCTCATAATTAAAATGCTTAACCAATTCACTCCAAATACCTAATGTTGCTTTCTCCCTAGGCCTGCCACCTTTCCTTACAGCCATGGGGCTCTTTTCATTATCTCCTTCCATGACTTCTTCACTCAGGCAGGACACAGCACTTCTCATATTCCTAGGACCCATCTACAGGTGTCTCTGCTGTCTTGTTCTGACCCTTAAAATTATATTCCCAAGCTCAACTATAGCACCTACTAATTTACATGGTAACTTGTTTTCTAAAGATTTGGGAAACTCCATTGTGGCCATACGTGGTAGACCATGTGAAAAATGGAAACTCTGCTCATAATGTAGAGGGGGGACTCATAATAGGCTACTGATTAATTACTTGGAAGTGTTAATGCAAATTCTATCACACCATTTTTGCCATTCATACAGCTTTCCACTGCAAGCTTGCTTCTTTCTGTTTTGTTTTTTTAATTATTGTGTTTTATCATCTTCTATTATCTCTCCCCTTGATTTTTTCTACTCTTAAATTTTTATTAACCAAGGGACCTGATTTGAGATGCCTGCCTTTAGGCACTGCTGTTTGTTGCTGATGATGCGACAGCCTCTATAAGGAATCACAGCCGCATTTGCATATCAAATAAAAATCCTAACTAACTCCTGCCATTTGTCTACTGCAAATTGACAGATATGTCAATTCACTGGAAGTGAATTCTCTACAAAAGGAAGATTTGTCAAACCTTTACTTGAGAGTCAGTGGTTCAGAGAGAACAGATCTGGCTGACCACAGTCTCTGCAGACAAAATACTTTGGCCACATTTTAACAAACGTGTACCACAAGGAATTGTCAGCATCTTCCTTTGGAGATCTCTCTATTTCCCCTGTGTGCAGTGCTTCCCCCTGGCTTTGTATTCCACAGCAATAGCTGATCAATTCTTATTTTGAACTCACTGCAGAAACTTATTTTTTTTCCTCTAGTTTTAAATTCATACCATGCAAGTGTTAACATGTCTTTTATCAATCAAAGCAGTTTACACACACAAAACACCGGAGGAGGAGTGACAAAAGAGTGGAACTTCTCACCCATGTCTCAACTAAACCATTGCCCAGCCCTGCACAAGTTGTTATTTCTTACCAACAAAAAAAACCACTTTGCAAATTATGCAATCCAACAGGAATCAATGCTGTTTTGTGCCAACGGACACCTAGGAAGGAAATAAATTAAGATCCCAAAAGCTGATAAGAAAAAATTCCTACACAACTGGAAGCTGAAATGCAGACTGAAAAAAATGTCCAAGGTGATCTGCTAAATACAGATTTTGACACAGGATCATTCAAAGTTACAAGGCAATACAGGACATGGGATTCTATCTACCTAGATTGCACTTTCATTTGGGGTCACCTGAGCATGCCTCTAAACAAAATGTTGATGTTCCTTGTATAGTTAATGGAAGATAAGTAGCTTATTTTGTCCCTGACAGATTTCTTTATGAGGAAAATTTCATTTTGTGGGAGTCTTTGGACTAAACTACCTTTTTTCCAAGAATGAGACAACGAAGAAAGGTATTTCATTTGGAGGACATACACTCTCTTTGCCATTTCCTCAGCAGTAATGGTTAAATGTACACTCAGATTTAACTCCACAGGAAAGCAGATCACCTCTGGTTTGCAAAGGTCTCTTGGTAAAGTGTTTAAAGAAACTAGACATGAGTGAACCATCAATAAGACCTTCTTACACAGAACAGGGACACATCTCCTGTTAAAATCAGACTGAGTGATCAGTGTAACCTTTTCCACACGGAAAAATGTTTTCCATTGAGAGATGTGTCTAATTCGCTGTGCTCCTGTTTTGCTACCTCAGAAACGGGATGATGATTATTTTCTCAATTTCATAGTGTGTTTTGAAGTTTGTGGACAAAAGAGCTACGCTCACCACCAGAAGCACACACTCACAGGCCACTTGCAAAATACCTTTCTTTAGAGGGACCTGATCCAGCTAGCAATGTGATTAAGTGTTTTCTTCAGTACAATGCTTTGAGACCTTTGCTGTTGTCTTTCACATTGATATTTATCTTCCAAATTTTTCTTGGAACCCAACACTGCTAATAGCTCAGCAGGACATTCCCCAGACGCAATTTAAGATTATAAAATCCAAACTCCCCCTAAAATCCCATTTTAATATTCTAAATAAAATCCTGAAGCCTCTTGCATGCTCTTTCAAACATGACTTAATCAAAAAACTTGACAAATACATACATCAATAAACATAACAGAAACAATATAATAACAGGGATATGACCAAAGCTTATTGCAAAGTGTTTTCCAAGTAATGCTAAATGGTAGTTCTTATGATGCTTGACAAACTTTAATTTCCCAAACAGAACAGGAAAATAATAAAAAGACATGAACAAAATACTGTCAGGTTACAATTTTGTCAGTTAATGTGCTTAGGCTTGGCTGTGACTGTGATTAAATAATACAAAGAGCATTCCATGCAAGGTACTGAGTTAAAACATTTGAGAGCGACATTAAAGTGAACCTGCTCCTCCACATATCAGTGACCTCTTGAGGTCCCTTTTATTCTTCTTGTCTTTAATTCTGTTTTCAGTTTGTGACTAGGCATAGCATGTTTATAGAGTGCAAAACATCTTCTTAAATATGCTATACAGCAAATTTACATTTCTGTAAAGACATCTCAAACTATTTTACAACTCATAACTATTGGGAGGGAGTCTGTGTATTTGTTGGAGCTTAGTGGGTCTGATTACCTGTCTCTATAAAGCCAAGAGTCTATTGACATCTCCAATTACAAGTAGGTTTTGGTCATGGAAGTTTCCATAATTTTTCCATATATTTTTAAACATTTGTGTCTTGGAAAAGTCATTATGTAAGAGGATATTTTTAGATCTTATCAAAAGCCCAAAGCTATCAATTTTTACACTTTTTTTTTTTAATTCTCCTTTTTTTTTTTTTTTACATAGTTGGACAGGTATATCCAGTTTCTCCACTAAGTTCCTAATATTGCAGGATATTTTTATATGCATATCAGCATGCATAATTACAACAAGTTTTTATTCTACCCAATACACAAGAAAGGTAAGAAATTAAGAGGAGTTCCTCCCAAGCATGTGCATTCTGGTTTTAGCACTTCAATTCTGCTATAAAAATTAGACAGCAATTCCTATGATAATAAAGATTGAAAAAAGTTTTCAGTCCAAATTCATCTAATAAAAATTGAACTACCTATAAAGATTTTCTACAAGAAAGGTGGAACCTTTATGTACCCTGATACATAAAAGAGAAATGCCTCCAAAGAATAGTGAGAGCAGGTAAAATATATTTATTTCTTTTACCCATTTCCATATTCTTTTTCAACGTCACAATCGCAATTACCACTGTCAGAATTTGATTCAGTGAAATAAAAGCTGCAGGCAAGATGACCTGTAGCCCAACTCTTCAAGAGAGAGGATCTTATTGAAAAAGCAATTTTGTTCTTACTGAAAGATGAAGTCCCAGTTACACAAAATTATAATATATCCTACTTTCACTTTCTGGAAAAAATGTATTCATACTCATTACCTGAAATTGAAATCAGACATCAGAAAATATTAAATAAATTACAGTTAAGTGCACAAATAAAGGATTTTCAAACAAAAATTTATAAGCTTCAAAACAAATTTCAAGCTTCATACAGTGGAACAGATTTGCATTTTGTGATTACACAGGTGGTGTACTCTGAAATCAGCATTCTGCTGTCTTACACTAGTCCGGCCCATGTATGTAAAAGGATCCGTGAAGATTTTGATCACCCTGTGTCACAGCTTGTATAAATGTGGAGTACTGACTAAATCCTGAAGCCCTTATAAGGAAAACATTTCTACTGATGTTTTAGTTTTATCTGATAAGAATTTTTAAATCATAACCATGGCAATATACTATTCTACTAACCAGAAGTGTGGAAATATATAACATACATTCAAAAATGGCACTTATGCGAATACTGGAGACACATCTCACTTTTACAGCATGATTTTACAAGGAATGTGAAAAATGAAACTGAATAAAAGAGTACATAAGAACTGATCATTTTTTCAAGTCTCTCAAACCACAGAAGTAGTATTAGGACAGTTTTACTACTGACAACTTTTAGAACAGACTGATAAGAAGTTCAGGCTCCATATCTTTCCTCTCTGCATTTCCTAACACATACCATGAAAACAGAATTAGGAAAGCAGAAAGGCAATGAGTTGTTCAGATAAGTTCATGCAGGCTGATGGCATATTAGGGCATGCACTATTTATCAGTGCTGCTAATGACCTGTGAAGTAGGAAAGCTTTATCTGTGATTGGCCTGGGCTAATCAAGGGTGATGCTGGAAGAGTCAGGGTCGTCCCAGCCCTGAGAAACGCTGGAGCTGCCACCACAGGAGTTACAGCTCAACTCGAGACGACAGACTTTCAAGTTCTCACTCTCTGCTCTTAACCCATCTCAGCCTACCAATTCTTACAGCTGTAATCATCCTGGATGAGAAAAGGTGACCTGCAATCAGTAACTTGGAAACTTCACCTATCACTGGAGTGATGGAAGAAATGTTTTAAACTCTAGCACTGGGGAGGGAGGGTTGCTGTGAACTATCACCTCCAGTGTGGTCAGTGTTTTCATAACTAATCCCTGCACTGCCTGAACATGCTCTTACAATGCCTTTAGTTATTCAGATGTCTTGCTGGGCACCCTGTGTGTCTTCCCGCTCTGACTGTCAATCTAAGTCCTAATAAGAAATTACATTCTCACCTCAGCACGCCACTGGCTGCACACACATCAGCCAGCACACAGAGATGACACAGCCCCTATGTTTCAGCAGATTTACCCCATCCCTAGTGAAAACTGTTGCCCTTTTGAGGTAAAATGTATTTCTCTATTATGGCACATGTTCAGTATATACAGTTACACTACAACAAAAACAAAGGTGTCCCAAACTATAGGCTGAGATGTTTGACTAAAACTTATTCATATTAATCTTGGCTTGGAGTGGGATGCTGTTGATCTATGGAAAGTTCTACTATATTAATAATGACAGTGTCTCAATATACAATCTATAATATATCTAAGTACATTGAATAGGTATGATTTCTTGTATAAACTGTCAATGAAATATACTTATCTAACAATGTCACCTTGTATGCTTGTCAGAGATTGGTAAAAATATATATATATGTATCCAGTCTCCCAGTGCACAGGATTCAGTGACTAACCTCTGCTGCCAGGCTTTAATTTCAGGTACTGGTTATTCCACTGTAGTTAGAGGACTAATGTCTCACTCCAAGGGAGAATAGAGTTCTGGAAAGATCCTTGATGTGCACCCAAAATGCAAGAGAAGTAACTCCAATGTGTCCCACATGACAACACCCAGATTAGGGTACCATCCAGGTTACTTGTGTAAATGAAAAGCTAGGGATGAAACCTCAGAGACCCATACAGCTAAATGACAAAGCTATCCAAGAGTTGGTTCCAGTTCACCTGTGATCCTTCTCACAATGCACATTGTTTATGCTAAATACCAATCCTAGACCCCAGTGTTATTTGAGAAACCAATTCCCACAGTTAGGAAACATTGCACTGATTTCAGCATCTCCCAAGCACTTATAGTCCCTCTTTATCTTAGCACACTATGTGATCACTGCAGAAAGAAATCCAGTAGTCAATATACTAGCTGGCTTCCCATGGGAAGGACAACTCTTAATTGCCTTTGATGTTTTTCTTTGCTCAGTATGTTTCTCTCCGTGCATGTGTGTGCGCATGTGAGAACACACACGTTTTCTTCTCTTTTTTATGGTGCACTTCACTGACATATTTAATAGTCACTCATTTCCATAGCACTTGTTTATCATAACTTACAAAGTAAAATTGGAGGATTATATTGTATTTACAACAAGTTGGCACTTACAGAATAAATTATTGATTCCTTTTTTTTTATTATTTTATTTTATTTTCTTTTTTTCTCCACTTCTTTTTCACCAAAGGGCTTCCAGAATTCAGGCAGAATAGTAACACCTGCTGCCAATATGCTACATTAACATGAGTAAATAGGGTTCCAGCTGTTACACTCTTTCCCAGTGATTTTCTTGTTGCTGAGAGGCAGTGCCTTCCACCTCAGTTCATGTCCAATGCTCAAAAACTGTTAGTCAAGTGAAAGCAAGGGCTGCATGTTTTCTTCCTCATTCTTATCCATGCGTTTCAGCACCCCAGGATCCACAACTGACTGAGACCTGCAGAGGGACAACATGTTTATGTGACATTTCTAGATCAAGACAAATGAGGGTAAACCTCAGCTTTCTTTTGTTTATTTTAATTTCTGTCAGGGTTTAAAAACAAGGGTACAGCATTACCCAAGCATCTGATCATTGCAAATCATCAGGAAATACCCTCATAGAGGCATAACAGGGCTCAGTGCTGATCTGTAAATATGGGAGCAAAATGTGGAATTAAGTGGATTCTCTCTTCAGTGAAATTGTGAAGCAGGGAGTATCCTCCATCCACAAGAGCAAACTAAGCTGTCCTCTGTAGTGACTCAAGCACTGACTGTCTCTCCAGAAGGTTATACAGCAGTGGGCTGGCAAAGAAGGCACAATTCAGCCACCCAGCTGGCAAATCACACATTGCAATTAGCAGGATGTGTTAGCTGGAAGCACAGGTTGCTCCTTTTCTGAATAGCATCTTAATTCAACAGCACAAGATCCTAAGTCAAACCTAGGAATGGTGCCATGGTTAGCAGGATTTCTGAAGCAGCACAAATGTGTCAAACTCACTTTTCATCTCAACTAAACAGGGCAGGGCAAATTCACTGATGATTGTAAAATTTCTCTAGATTCTCTGATTCAGTCCAGAAGCATAACATGATACCAGTGCCCTGCAACAGCCATATGTAAGAGGCAAAGAGGAAAACTGAGTCTCCAGCAAAATCAAAATGTTCCATTGAAAACAAAGCCTGGAGTGTTAAGATGGGGTCTCACATTAGCCATGGCTCAGCTCATCCAAAAGCAGGCACTTTTGGATGAGCTGAGTAACTGCAACCCTGGTTAGATGTTTCCTTTAGTGAGAAAAATCTCAAGCAGGAAATGCCTCCTTCTCTTTCCTTCTGTAAAATTTGAGATGATTAAAGAGCATGTGTGCATCTCTATAATGTAGGCATTTATTTTTGATCAGTGGAAGCACACTGAGCCTGCAGCATTGCCACAGATTTGCTCATTTAGAGGGCTACAGTGCAGAGAAAAACCTTTACGAATTCTAAACTTTCCTAAGATAAGCATATGGATTCAGTTCCCCCCTCTTATAAACTGGCATCCTCCAGTGAAACCAATGAATGAGGCTGATGAGGTCTTTCTAAAAAAAATTTAAAGAAAGGTTGCAGAAATACAAGAAAAACATCTGACTTAAAGCTCAGCTGAAAACTTTAGACACAAGAATATTTTCTAATAATATTTATCCCATTCTCATACTAATATTAAATCAAGAAAATTAGCTTGAAAAATATTATCATCTCTCTTGTGATAAGCATAATTTAAACTTTTTAAATTAGAGTGTACAATAATACTTATCCTGAACACTAGTCAGTTCCTCAGGCAGAAAACTAAACCAGTGAATTAAAAATGCTTTTTTAAAAATCTTCACAAGGTACTGTGCTAATGCAAAGCTGATTGAAAATTTGCTGGTGGAAAGCTGCACTCATGGAAAATCCAGTTCATCATGATAAAAATTGCTGGGGAAGCAAATTAACTTCAAAGGTTTGCCAACTAAGTGCTGAAACTGAGCCTTTTCCTTGCCTGCCAGTGACTGAGCAGACAGGGTTTCCAGTTCTCATCTGGGGAGAGCTGAAGGGCAGCTGGAATGGCTGCAAACCTGGCCTCCAGCTCCCTGTGAGGATACTTTGGCCACAAATTCCCAGAGCCTCCAAAGCCCCCAGTGCCAAGGCAGGTGTGAAATCCAACTGCACAAATCCTGATCTATGGTTTGTAAACTCAGACGCCCAAAAGCCTTGAAGAAGGAGATATAGTATGCACTCAGCTTTAAACAGAAATTTACTGTCATGCTTCATCAGCAGCAATTCACAAATGAAGGTATGTGAAAGGAAAAACATTTGTTTAAGTCTATAGCTCCTTCTCTTCTGCCTACATCTCCCAGATAAATTTGCAGACATTACTGAATTACATTCTGAGAAAACACAGTGGGCCTGAGTTATACTACAGAGTCCCATTGCAGAGGTGAGGAACCAAACCACAGCTCCTCTGCAAAGTTTATCAACACAGACACCTGCCCTGCTGGGTTAGGTGAGAGGAGGATGCAGGTCCCCAGCTGGGTGCCTCCGGATGACAGCCATGGGTGAACACAGCCACGGGCTCAACCTGACCGCTGAGGCTGCTGCAATGGTGCCAGGTGACAAAAACAAGTTCTCCCCAGAGGTCTGTGCTAGAGGTGGCATTAATTCTTCCTTATATCCATTATCCTTCCCCCAGTCAACCTTTCTTTCAAGGTGAGGTCATCCAATTCACTAAAAATTCAAGGAGATCTGGAGGAATGTCAGTGGTTTACATTGGGGGCAAAAAGAAATGGGGGTTAAGAAAGATATGAATTCTTAGTAGCAGTTTGGTTTTAGAAAGACATCCTTTCAGGAAGTAAACTAATTTTAAAATGGTAAGCCAAATTAAACAAGATAATTGTTGGAGAGCTGCTAGATGCTTGTGAAATTTGTTCTAAGCTAAGCACTTTTCATTGCCTTAGTCAACTTTTTTTTATATGTTAAAAATGTTATGGACTAACATATACCGGCTGTGGGTTTAAACTGAGAGAAACAACCCATCAGTTGCTGAATACAAGTTAAATTTAATGTTTAATGAAATAGAGTTTATCTGTTTTATTCTAACTTTTCTATTCCTGCCTTAGCAGAGTCTGTGCACTTGGTACACTGAAGTCTTGGGACTTTCTGTCAGCCTTAGTATTAGCACAGTAAGTCTACTTAGTACTTTTTATGTCCAGCAGCAGGGAACAAGGATTCCAGCAGATGCTGGAGGCATGCTAACTGAGAAAGAATACATAGAAGGTGAAGAAATTTTAGCATATTATATAGATACAGATTTCAACATGTTTGTTTTCTGCACTAGGTCTCCTACTGTGTTAGTTCAACCAGAATGAAAGAATATCAATTTGAAGCTTACAATGAAGTGTAATACTGTATGAAAAGATTTTTCAAGAACAAGTTAAATGAGAATAAAAATTATTTGAGAAAGAATGAAGAATCTGGTCAACTCACTGCTTTTTCACTTAATTATATTCTTGCCCAGGACAATCTGGAAAACTCTGCTACAAACAGGATACTTCAAAAGGACTTGTCACAGGCCTTCTCATATTTTATTTTGTTGCACCCTTGGATGAAGTTATTTACTCTCACAACATTTTACAGCAGAAAGACTTCTGCATTTCAGTTCCTTAATTCCATCCTTCTGTCTAAGACAGCTTGTCTGTTGTCTCATAATTCTTGTATTATGTGCAAATCATACATAAGTGCATTGTTCACCTTTCCCCTCTCCTGGCTCTTTTTCTCTGTCCCATTTTCTCCATTAATTTTGTTAGTTACACATTTCTAGCTTCCTATATCTGGGCATTGGGGATTTTGGAGGCTCTGGGAATTTATGGCCAAAGCTCCCTCATTGGGAATTTGAGACCAGGTTTGCAGCCATTCCAGCAGCCCTGTCATACAGTTTCAGAACCTTTTTTAACTTCTTATCCTAGCTCATTCCTATCCAGTTTGTTGCTATTTCCCACTTTCAATAAAGTGGAGGCTTTTTCAACACAAAATCCTTAAACTTTATTGGGGTTTTTTTTCTTTTTTTTTTTAATTTCCTATAGCAATCTTATGTTTTCTCTTCTGTTTCCACAAAAATAACTCCCTTTTAAACCACACTGTCCTTCCCAGTCTAGGCAATATTTTCCAGCCAAAATAATCTTCCTGGCTGAGAAATCTGAAAATATTTTATCCTGCTTGATCTTCTTCCAGAGTTTCTTTCCCTTCTGTATCACATCCTATCTCCTGAAACTGGGTTCTCAGCCTAGCATATCCTAACTTAATTTTAATGACTTTATATATTGGTTTCTGCCTTGTTTGTTATTTTCTGGTCCATTGCTAGGCCTGTCCCTTATAAGCTGCACTCTGACTTTTGCTGCCCTTTCTGCTACCTTTTCTATCATAGTTGTAATCTTTACCCTTTTCTCTCCTACTGCCCTGGCAAGCTTGGATCAGATTCACTCCTTCCAAGTTAATGACCTCACTGCTTCCACAGCTACTGAAGAGGTAACCAAGCTCTTCCTTTACTCTATTATAAATGGTAAAATGCAGCAAGCAATTACACTGCACCTTCTCAAAGAAAAAAATATCAGAATGCCAGAGTCTTTACCAGACTTGAAATAACAATTGGCACTGATTTTGATCCTGGTTCTCCTCAAATTTTCTCAGGCATGCAGTCACTGTGACTGATGGTTCAGATGCCATAAATGTCCTGGCATCTACAGGCTGGTAGATAGGATACCAGGCAGTGGGCTATGAGATAGAGGAAGATAAGAGCTAACATCACCACCCAGAAAGACAATTGACCCAAATTTACCCTCTGCACAGAGGCTCACTCCAGCTAGCATTGTTTCTCTAATAAGTATTGTAGGCTGAGGTGAGGTAGCAGCTTATTACAAAGACAGCACTGTGAACACAACCTATATGGCACCACAGAAAAAAATCAACTGCACTGAGTTCACAACTCATATGTGTAATAATCACAGCCATGATCTCTCATCAACACAGATCTTTTTAAGAAAGGGGAAAAAAACCAAAGTGTCTTCAATTGTCTTCCTATATGATAGACTGAACTACCTACAGCTTCATAAAGGATGAAGAAGGCAAATGTTAACCTTATGTCAATACTAGAAGACAACAGTACCTTTAACTCACCTTTTCATGGACTTGGGAGAGAGGTCCTTTTCTATGTCCTTTGCAGGAGTGTTGTAGGAGTCTGCATTGCATTCACTGTCATCATCGTACTCATGGTCGAGCAGTGTTCGTGCCCACGTGCCCATGTCATAGGGGGGCAACATTCCCCCAAACTCTGAAGGCAGGATCTCAGGGTGTATGAGCTGATGCAGGCTGTTGAGGTTGTTACCATGCAGGAATATCTGTATGTAGGCATGCAGGTAAAAACACAGGGGTATCACCAAAAATCATCAAAGCCCAAATGACATCATCATTATTTGAAGGATGCTGTACAATTTAAACATTCTGGTTGTGTTGGGCTAGCAGAGGAAGGTACACATCATCTCTGCCTTAAGCATGGTCATACTATGTTCATAAATCTCCAAAGTGGTTAAAGCATAAATAACTTAAAATGTATGCAGGGAAAGGGTAAGAACTGGTGTCTGGTAACTAGATGGACAGAATATTAGATTAGCAAGACAAACTGCCTTGTTAATCTCTTGCCAATTGTTCTCCCTAATCCTGTGAATTAAGTGAATAAATTAAGATGATAACAAATGAATAAAAATTATATTCACCATATACAACAAGGAATATATGTTGACTTTCAGCATGTAGCCATGAGTTCTATAAATAAGATAAATTGTGCAGTGTAATGATAACAGTGCTGGAAATATTTTCCTCCTTAATCTAGTCTTACCAGTAGCTGCCATTTATACTTGACAATACATGAAGTAAGTAATAATAGCCAACCAGTGTGACAACACTGAGGGAATAGGTGATGGACTATTTGATATTTTCCATCAATGTTTTGGTAGACTGATATTCTTATATACTTTACACTTATATATCTGTATATGAATATGGTGTGATATGAATACTCATATTTATGTTTAACTTTAGTGTTTCCCCTCAGAGATCTTTCATGTTCCACTTCACCTTGCAGGGACTCCTCTGGGCAGGTATACCCTTAGCATGATTTATAAGAGTTAAATTCAAAAGGCAGAAAGACAAAGACCAAATATATGCTTGTCTTTTATTGCTTACTTCAGACCACCTTCCAGTCAGCTGTGGACTCAGGAAAGTTAATATGACCGTGCAAAACCAGTGATTTTCTTCCACCTCAGAAAGGAATTTATCCTTTTGTGAAAGAACATTCATTAATGGTGAAAGTTATTTGCTTTATGGTACCTTTAAAGCTAAGTGTTTCACTTCTTAGCAGTTGTTTTTATATATGCCTAGTACTGCATTTATATGACTTTAACTATCACTTGCAAATCTATATGAAAAATTAAAAAAACACATACTAATTCAGGATAAAAACAACAGATAAATAATAAGCCTGATAAAAAAATATAAAGAGAATTCTTTTGGTTTGAAGGGTTTTTTTCCCAATCGTTTGTTCTGCATCTAATAATTTTTTTAAGGTTGATTTTAAATTTTATGTGCTGGTCATAACTTTCACATTTTGACACTAAGTTTAGAAATGTAAGTCAATATTTAACCACCTGACTACTTTTTATAGGTATTTGGTATTGACAAAAAACAGTTGTAAAAAGTCAGCATTTCTGAAAATATATGCCATTGATTCAGATGTCTAAATAAAAATTTAGATGCTAACTGATAAGCCTCCATGTTCAACAGCCTTGTCACTTATTTTTAATGCTGTAACCCTCCCATGAGCTGCACTTTACTCGCTAGTTATGCATATGCAGCACTTGAGTTGAAAAGGCCTCAGACAGATCTGGCACTACAATGTTCTCTGAAGAAGCTGCAGTCAACTGAGTGCAACTGAATCCTGCAAAATGGGGCTTCATTTGCATATTTATAACAGATATTACATAAAAGGCTTTGTGATCTATAGTTCAAAATCTGTAAATACCAGAGGCCTCTCAAGCATAATCTGTCAGTAAAAAAACAGCTCAACACCAAGGATCATTGTGGCCTTGCAGAGTGTGTTTGAGGAGAAAAAATACAGAGCTGCTTAAGGAGCTGATTCCATTGAAAAAAAAAAAAAAATCATGTTCTTTGTAGTGCCGTTGTACACGATGTTGATTGTGTTTTCCTGGATGACAAATTTCCTGTTACAGAAATAATATCATTCTATACGCTATCACCACCAAGCTCTAATTTAATTGCACTGATGCAAATGGTATAAATTCAGTAACATCTCGGAGGCTGCTCATGCTTATGCACAGATGCATGCACACAAATTCCCTTTTATTGGTTTTCATTCAAATTAGTATTTGCAAACTAATACTAGTAGATGCCAGCTGGGTATTTTAGCTCATGCTAATGTCAAGCAAAGCACACTAGGAAAGGACTTTGTAGTCACTAACTCTGTTTTTAAAAGAAAGACACAAATAATTTTAACAGAAATTGAACAGAACTGAATTGAATACAATCTTAATAGAAACTGTAATGTTGTCAGTATTTTTTTATATAACTCCCAGGAGCAAGCATACGCTTACGTTTTAAAATACATTTAAGTGCACTGCTTGACTGTGTCCTTAAAGGATAAGATTGTATAAGTTCCTAAGACAGTTGAAGGTACCCTGTACAACACAAATATATTTAAACATTTTCCACCAATGGCAAGCTGATATCTCATGTTAATCTACTTTATTAGAGTATGATGCATCTGCTGATGACGACTGCCAGGAAATGGACAATTAAAAAGAAGAATACCCTTTTTCGTGTCTTCTCCTTCAGAAAGGGCCGGATAACTGTGTAGAGGGCATGGATATACCACGGCTGATTGACGAAATGTATTCCTCCAAACCGAGCTGGAAAGCTGTCCTGTGTGCCACAAAAGAAATACACAAAATTTGAGTTGATTCTTAACATATGTAGCACATGCATCTAATACCCTTTTTTGTTCTGAATGCCTTCATCTTAATAATAAGCCTTAAACAAGAAGAAAGATTATTCAAAACTGCATCCTCTCAGTTGAGTTCCAACTTTCCACACCACGGAGCAACACACCTTGGACAGGGTAAGTGTGGAGGAAGTGTGCTGAGACAGCTTTGCTATTCAAATAAAGGCACAGCATTTCTAATCTCCAGAAATGCTTTAAACATTTATGATTTGCCCATAATCCATCTATACAACATATTTTTCTCTTTTCCACTTCTATGGATTTTATTCATTTTTAATAGTAACAATCTCAACTCTTCCAATGTCATTGAAGAGTGCTAAAAATGTCCCTTGTCTCCTCCTTAAAAAGAAAGTGTAAATCTAAGCTACTATTCAGAATGTCTCAAATATTATCCATATTTCATAAAACTGAGGCTGCATTAAACATTATGCACAAACCGTTATGCAATATCCATGACAGTAATTCTTGTTACCTAGTCAGAGGCCTTCTGGGAACTCAAATGTAAGGATAGCATATCTGTATTGAAGCAATGGCTTTTCTTTTTTACTTGCTGAAAATCACAAGGGGTAGATAACTCACTAGGAAAAGATTCTGATATGCATTTTCAATTTCTAAGTCGAGGAAATACGCCACAGGGTTTGGCAGTTTCAGGAGGGCAGCCACTCTGTCTTGGAATACAATTGCTAAGTTCCTTGTGTTGTCCTCATTTTGTCTTTGCCTGGTTGATCATATGCACAAACAATGCAGTAAGTCAGCTCCTATGTTTCCTACAGTTGCACCACTGAGGAAGGAGGAAAGAGGTGCAAACAGGTGCCGTTGATGCACGCTCCCTTTTGTTTTCATGGCTTATGTCAGAACCTTCTCAGTGAAGAACGTTCTCCTAGTTATACAGACTCCCTAAATTAATGGCTTTCATCTGAAGCTTAATTCAACAGGAGACACAGCATAGGCAGCCATGGCAGTCTCTTAGATCACAACCAGGTTCCTCACTGCAGCAGCAGCAGCTCCTGTTTGACCATACAGGTAACAAACAAGGACATCCTTTCCAGCTACACCTCCTCCTCTTCCTCCTCCTATGTGGATGCAATAAAGGCATCTTCAGGACTGTGCCACTGGGATGAACGACTCAAAAGGAGGCAATCAAATGGTCTGACATTGTGCTTTGTGCTAACAGACCTATTTTGCCTCCCCTGGAGACAAGAGAGGAGGCCCTATAGAAGCACCCAGCAGCCTCGATGTAATCTGCAAAGCACCACTTGAAGCATAGGGTAATACAGCACACACTAACAAAATGGCCAAGAAAAGAATTATAAACTATTCCAGCCAATCAAGAACTGTCACAAAAGAAAAGCAGAAACTGCAGGAAGGAAATCTTCCATATTCCAGATAGGAATATACTTTGAAAAAGTGCAACTGTCTGCATATCCACAGAACCTCTTTAGCTCTGCGAATGTGTTTAGCCCTGTGGGAATAACAAAGTAAAGAGTCACTTACTCCTCCCCAAGGATCCATCCACATCCTGTCAGGCATGCCTAACCCAGGGGCTCTTTACAGCAAGGTACACCTTGCCTTCCAATTGTAACAGCTTGCTGGATTTTCCATCAAGGAGGCAGCACCTTGACAATAATTTACAGGGAGGATGACAACCACAACACACGCTATTCACATCTGGCTGGCCAGAGCACAAGTCAATACAATCAATGGTCTGTTTTGCAGCTTTTCTCCTGAAACTTTTGATTAACAGCAGCTCTGAAAGAAAACAATCCTATCAAAAGATTGCTGCAGAAGCCTCATTCTGCTAAATGCACAATTCCTGTCAGCACTAACTAAATGTCAAAGAGGATGGTTGGTAATTTGACACATAATTCACCCTGTTCCGTATTGTAAATCCCCAAACACCATTCTGAGGATGCAGCTATGATGTGCAGAAGGCAGTAAATTATGTTTGTATCATAGTGATCCAACAAATCCATTTGGGATGGATAAATCACCAGATGACACCTTAACCTTTAGTTACAGGTGATAAAATTCATCTAAAGAAGGTCGTGTTTATTTGGATTATCACAGCTGGCTCTCTAGTAAAGAAAACAGATGCTCCATGCTGCATACCATGCACAAAAGAGCACACACTTAGAGCTGCAGAAATCTCAGCAGAGCTGAGAGTCACACAGAAACTGAGGATAATTTGTGAAGAAGAACATTCAATGGGCAAACTGGCATGCACAGACGCAGATTCAGAGCAGACTGCCAACGGCATTTGTATTCTAATGTGGCCTCGGAATGCTCTGTATCTTTTTAAAGATACAAAATTTCCAGCAGACAAAAAAGATTATCCTTAAAAACTACCACTTTGACACATCTACCATCTTTTTCTGCATCTTGGAAACCATTTACATGGAGGATCACAAATATATGTGGAATGATCCTCAAACAGATGATGCCACTTGATCTTAAAAGCCAGTTTACTTCAGTGTTTCTCAGAAATTCTGAAAGCATTTTCTGGAACTAAAGAAGATGGGTATTTATCAGTCTCTGTGACTGAACCAAGGTGCCCAGATTCAGAAGCAGTTCCTAAGGTGTAATTAGGACCCCCAAAAATTTGTGCCAAAAACCAGAAAGGGTGATTTGGTCAGAATGATCCTGCTTTGTACACAGTGCTTAAACTAGTATTCAAAAGCTACTGAAAGTAGATCCAAAAGCAAATCTCAAAAGCATCTGCTGAAAAATAAAAAAGCAGAATAAGCAACTACATCTGCTGGAGAAACAGGTGCCAGAAGGTTGTCTTGCTCTTCTCAGATGTACCTGATTTCCACATGGGGATTTGCCAGACAGATGGTCATCCTTACATAAAGAGCAGGTAGGAATTTCTTTCAAATCAGTGATTCTTCTGGGGATTTATGTAGATTAGGTTACAAACACAGTGGCAGTCACAACTGCCTCTGCAGACACACTGTACTTCAACAGATGAGCCTGTAACCCATGAATCACATGAATTCTAAGTAAAAGGAATCTCTTGCCAGAAAACAGTAAGAAATGGAGATCAGCTGTAAAGTGAGCTGTGCTTCTGACTGGAAAAGAAATAAATCTGATGGGGTATTACCAAACTGCAAAAAAGAACTAATTATGTCTACACAGTGGGTGGATTTTTCTTCACATTCACTGTAACCTCTGCTTCAGCAGAACAGAACTTTTTCTTTTCTCTGGTGAGCACAGCTTGTGACATGGTCATGCCACAGACTCAGACAAGCAGGCAGTTATTATCAGAGACCACAGGCCCTGTGACATGAGGCTTGCAAGTGACAATTAACAGCCAAGGAAGAGGCACACCCCTACACTATGCTCTGCAGCACTGGGGGACTACCAGTGCACTTGCAGCATCACAGAACCATCCCTCACTGGGTTTGCAACTCTTGTGAAATGGTTCTGTGCACTCACAGCACACCAATTCTACCCTCTCTGCCAAACATAATTTATACAAACTATCTCAACAAGTTTTCTCTCCAAGGGCCCAGCTGCTATTGCCTGCTACCACCCTTGGCACATACAAAGAAGCCAGGTTCCCACTTGCCAGCCACCACATTCCACCCTGTGCTGGGCTCAGCCATCACCTGAGCCAGCTCTCAGGGTTTCACCGAGGGTCCCCTGCTCCACTCTGGCTTTAAGGAACTCTTACAGCACAGGCAGTAACAGCAAAACCAGTATAGGACATTTTCAACAGTACTTATGCGAATAAAGTGCCAAATTCCTACTGAAAACCAATGTAAGTCTTAATGGTATCAGGACTGTTGTCATAAAAATGACCCATCTTTACCAAATGCAAAAGATCAAAGAACTTCTTAAAGGCCGCAGCATTCTTCACTCCTTGAGCATAACATCGACATTTAAATCTCTGAAGTCTAGTTTAAATGAAGCAGCCCTCCTAGGTGAACCCAGTACTGTAACCAAATTTGTTTGCACAGCTTTTGGAAGTGTAGTCTCAGAAACTGCTGAGTCCACTGTGTGCCCAAAGGTGCTTTGGCAGCCCATTGTCATCAGAGCCTTAAAAGTAAGCTGCACATCTACAGCAAACAGACTGTCTGGACACACCTTGCCACATATGAACACCGAGAGTCTGCCTGGGCATGTGTGCTCTGGGGTTATTTTTGAGGGTTTGCTGTCCTTTTTTGCAGTGAAACTGTTTTTGCAGACAGTCTAGAGACATCCTTCAAAGGACAGTCTAGACAAACATAATGAATATGCTCACACCCTTTACTTAAGGCTGAGCATGAGCGCTCTGATGAATTCAGGCTTTGCATCTGCAGACAACAAGAGGTTACAAAGTCAAAACTCCAACAGCTGTATCCTCATAACAAAAATTGCAAGTTCAAAGAAAGCATACAAAACTGCTAATATCTTAACTGTGACGTAAGACTTACTCCTCAAGATAATACATTAGTCCTCTTTTAGCTTTTCCGCTAAGTCAGGTGCTTCAGGGAGAAAAAAAGATACTACCAAAATAGTATCTTCATAATGGAAAGCTCCACTAGAAAGAAACTGAAACAGTCTCTCTTCTACAAAACGCATCACAACTAAACTTCATTTTTAGCATGTTAAAGAGGAAACTATGGAAACTCATGGAAAGAAAAGAATCTGAGAAGGAATAGTTCACGACCTTATCCAAGAGGTGAACTACCAGAGGAACCAAGAGTCACCGTCATCTACATCAGGAAAGGACACCCATCTTCCTACCAAACTGCAACTTCCTCCAAAGGTAGGAAAGAAAAAGGCATTCCTAATACCAAATTTCCTGCCAGCATCCATCCATGACATGAGGACATGCAACGCCTCAAACAAACAAACAATGTCAAGACTGATCACCTACGCTCAAGGCACGACTGGAACCAGTGGTGAGATTGGATGATTAGGAGACTGGAAAGTGAAT